ATCAGAGAAGGAAGGAGAGTAGTATTCTTCTTGATTGGCGGCGAGCGAGGGGGGGAAGTGAGAAGGAGAATGCCTTCTCAGAAAGCAGCTGGACTTCTCAGAGGCCCTCGCGCCTTCTGGTAAGTTGGTTTACTTTCGGGGAAGGCTTAGAAAACTTCTTAGAAGGCCAGGGGACTTCCCAACCTTTTGAGAAGGCCTTCTCCTTCTAATTTCCCCCCCTCGCTCGCCGCCGAATTGAACAATTGTTGGAGGGGAGGTGTGGAATGGGCAAGGGGGAACAGGGAGGGGAGATTGGGGAAAAGGGGGGGGGCATGGAGGGTAAAGGGCGCATGGGGTTCCGGGGTGAGGTGGACGTCGAGGGTAAGCACCGTCGAGGGCGTGGAAGAGGACGAGGAAGGTGGGGAACGGGAGGGACGGGAGGGAGAGGGGGAGGGGAGACGACGAGCTTAGGTCCATGTGCTCTCGCCCCCGCCCCGGCCCACAACTCCCGCCAGCCCTCTGGGCGCAGGCGGCTCAGAGATAGTGCTTTTTCGCCCTGGGGCTGGGCGGGCACGGCCAAGCTTCACATCGGGAGCTGGGCGCGCCCGCGCCACGTCTGACGCACTCGCCCTCCCACCCGTCCCTTCCCGTTGCGCTGACTTGCACGCGCGTCGCTGCCCAGTCCGCCAGTGTGGTGCAAACCGTCCCGGTGCACATGGAGAGCGAACCCACTCCGAGAGGAACCGGATGGCACGTACCAAACTCGGAGGTTGTGACAGTGCAGATCACCAGAACCCCTCCACTTCAAGAAGCAGCTCTTGTGATACAGTCAACGCGTATCATCAGGACGCGTGGTAAGGACGCAAGACCCTTGGAGGCCGAAGCTGGGGCATTTTGGGCGGCAGGCGTCCGCAACAGCAGGGACGCAAGGGGCATCCTAACCCGCTCCCGTCCTTGCCGCACGGGCGTCGAGGCCCGGCGCAAAAAAGCTACGCAAGGACGCAAAGGCACCCTTCAGAAACTGTCGCCGCTTTCGCGGCACCGTGGGAGGTCAAGCAGAGGGTTGTCGCACGGGGATCGCCCTGAGACCTCGCCGTCGCTGGGGGGAGGGCGCGATCTGAAGAAACTGACCGAGGGCATCGGCGACGCGCCCAAGGACGGCCAAGGGGGGCCTGCCTGGCCCACGTCCCCAGGGCAACGCCCGCCCGCAAAACAAGCGAATGGCGAGGACGAAGGCAACGCGCCGAAGGACGGCCAAGGGTACCCTGCCTGGCCCGCGTCCTCAAGGCAACGTCCGTCCGCGAAGGAAGACAGCGACCGAGGGCAGCGGAGGCGCGATCAAGGACGGCCAAGGGACCCCTGATTGGCCGACGTCCCCAGGGCCACGCCCGCGCATATCGAGCGACGGGCGAACACGAGGGCGACGCGCCGAAGAACGGCCAGGGGTACCCTGCCTGGCCCGCGTCCTGAAGTGCCCCCCCCCATCCCCCCCCGCCCCCTTCCCCCCCGAAGGAAAAAAGCGACCGAGGGCAGCGGCAAATGGCGAAGACGAGGGCGACGCGCCGAAGGACGGCCAAGGGTACCCTGGTTGCCCGCGTCCTTAGGACTGCCCCCCAGAGGAACGCCCCGCCGCGCAGCCGAGGAACGGCGCCCGCCCCGAGGGTACCCTGAGAGGCTGGCCAATCAATCTTGCACAGGACGGGCCGCAGAGGCAGAGGCAAGAAGGGACCCAAGGGTGCCCTGGAAAAGGTCACACGTCGTTATCATGCGCGTTGGCTGTATGTCCAGTTCCTATCAGTCGTAGTCCTACTTCGAGCTGGAAGGAAAAAGGAAGGGAAAGGCGCAAGGGAATGTGAGGTGGAAGGGGACGGGGAAGAGAAAGGAGAAGCGAAGGCGAAGCCAACAACATGAACCAGTGACCTTCAAGGCGACGAACACTCCGCAAGGGCAGAACAAAAGTGTCACGGAATTCGCCGGCCCAACGGGCCAGTTCGCGCGCGCGGGGCGGCCCCTGGGGGTCCCCCGGCGAAAAGCATCCCGACCGCAGCCCGACCAGATCTACTCAGAGATGGTTTTGAGGGCCTTTTTTCGACACCCCTCACGAGGATCGTGGCCTCCGAGGGGGGTGCACTCGACTACCCCGCCCCAAGAGGCCCCCAAGAGCCCCCCAAGAGGCCCAAGGGGGCCCCCGGACGCCGCAGGGGAGCCCTAAGAGACCCCCAAAAGGCCCAAGGGGGCCCCCGGACGCCGCAGAGGAGCCCTAAGAGACCCCCAAGAGGCCCCCAAGAGGCTCCTAGGAGGCCCCAAAGAGGCCCCCAAGAGGCTTCAAAGAGGCCCCATAGAGCGCTCGAGGACCGGCGGAATGAGCGAAGCGATCGAATAACTCGAGGATGGATTGAACATGTCACATGGTCAGAAGACGGCTGTATGCCTGAAATGATCCACACCGCGTTTGAATCTACGTGCGAGGAGGGAGGACGGAGGGCAATATGAATGAAGAAAGGAGGTATTACGCACAGATAGCTAAGCCTAAAGTGTTGGGGCGAAGGCGGAAGGGAAGGGGAGGGGAGGCAGAACAGAGAATGGAGCGCGGGGGGGGGGGAAAGGGAGGAAGCGAGAGAGCACGAGGTCGAAAGACGAAAGGAATGAGAAGTGGAACCCAAAGAGGAGAGAGGAATGCAAGCGCGAAGGGAAAAACGAGGGAGAGGGGGACAGAAGAGAAGAGAGGGAAGGGGAGGGAAGGACGATGAAGTACGGGTAAGAGAGAGGAGGAGAGGGAATGCGATGGAAGAGAGAGAGAGAGAGAGAAAGAACGAGGGGCGACGGCGTCACATTCATAGTGGGAGAGAGAGAGAGAGAGAGACGGAGAGATTGAGCGCATGTGTCAGGCTCACTTCTTCTCACCCTGCATGCGACGGGCCGTTTCTTCCCAGCAAACCATTACACTCGACTTCCCTTAGGTTTCAAGTGTTGCCTTCGCTCCCGCGCAATGTGGTCAATTTACGTCGAACGCACACCGCCATTGTAGTGCTGAACCCGCCGAATGCTAACCATCGGCGCGCTCGAGGAAAAGTGCGCGTGTTGGGAGGACGCCGACTATACAAATACACCTTTCCTGCTTCGATAGAGCTTGGTAACCTCATCGTCTTCCCCACGCCGCATGCATGCATGCGCGTGGCTGCGCGCGCGCAGACGCGCACATGCAAGCCCGTTACAGCCCGCCCACCAAGAATGGGCCCGATTCCGCGAATCCCACCCGCCCCCGCCCCCGTCGGCGCAACCAGCCCAAGTAATTGGTGTATACCACTGTCGGCGTATACCGACACTAGTTGCTTACCGCGCGATTGGTTTCGGTGTATACGCATAGTCGCGTCCTGATGCAGTTTGGGGTATACACATACACCACTGTTGCCCCTGGTGCCCTGGCATCGTTGGCGGGGGCGGGGCCAGTTGAGGCCCGCGGAATCGGCTGGCCATCCCCCGAAGGGGGCCCTCGCCCCCAGCGGCCACGAAAGGCATTCCTGTAGACTGGTTGTGAACAGATGTGCGTGTGTGAAACTAACTGACCACGGAGAACAACGCGAATGAAAGCCAACTGACGAGAGACCTCGAAGAACGCGTAGGTTCCCCTTCCACCATCCCCTATTCTTGCTAGCTCTTGGGGGTCCTGCTCTCTGGAGGCGGCCCTGGGAATCCTGGCACCATATCGCTGGAGCTCAAGGAACACCGGCCCACCTTTTCGGGCAGAACGAATGATGAAGAGTAGCCCGGATGCGCCACAACCTCACGCCTCCAAAGCTGCGCCAGATACTCGTTTGGTCTGCGGGCTCGCGAAACAGGTCGAAAGCCGTCCGAACACTAGCCGGGCCGCGACTAGGCAGCAAGAAAAGAGAGGCAAGCGAAGCGAGCGCCCGGGCAGCCACTCAGAAGAAGAGCCAGAAACGAGACTCCCAACCCGGTGGCGTGGAGATCCCGGTGGCGACCACCAAGTAAGCGCAGCCAAAATGGCGTGGCAGCGCGACCATAAACACGCAGAGGTCAATCACTCGGTGTGAGTCGGCACAAGGCACCGTCAGAGACGAGCAGGACCGACAGGCACACCCGGACGACGTCCGTGCCGCGAAGACAGGCGGAGAGGAAGAGGAAGGAGGACCAAGGGGAACAAGGCGAAAGACCCAGAACGACAAAGCCAAGGAGAAGAACACCGGCTCACCCTGGAGCTCTCCTGAATCAAAATAAATATCGGAACCCCCGGGAGCTCTCGTAAATCAAGATAAATACCAGCTCCACTCAGAACTTCCACTAATCGGAAAAAATACCGGCCCCCATCTGGACATCTCGCAAATCGGAATAAGTTACCGCTCGCGTGGGTGGATAGGAATAAGTACCGGCTCCCCTGGGAGCTCTCCTAAATAGGAATAAGGACCAACTCCCTTGGAGCTCTCGTAAATCGGAATATGTACCTGCTCCCCTGGGAGCTCTCCTAAATCGGGATAAGTACTGGCTCCACCTGGAGCACTCGAAAGTCAGCATACAGCCAACCCGTGTAATCAGGACGCACGAGAAGGATGCAAGGGCCTTGGAAGGCCATGTCGACACTTTGCGAGCGGGGAGCGGCCGGCGAAAGCGGCCAAGGATGGGCCGAAGGGGAAAGACGCAAGGGTAACCTTGGAAAGTCGCTCACTCACCATGCGGGTTGCCTGTGAGCACTGGCTCCCCAAGAAGCTCTCGTTTTTCAGAGGAAGCACTGGCTCCCGCCGGAAGATGCTGGACGAGCTGGGAGCTATTCCGTTTGGGGCGGGAAGCTTCGAAAAAAGATCCGCGCGCTCACTCTCCCGACGGAGGGGAAGGGGTACAGAGTCGGAGCCTCGCGCAGGCCCCCGTAAACTCTTCATGCTCCTCCCCCTCCCCAGTTTCCCCCTCCTCCTCATCCTCCTCTTGGTGGGAGCTCCTGTACGTGGCCGTCAGAAGCTCGCTCGGCCCAGACATGGCCTGCGCGCCCAGGAAAGGGTACGTGGCGCTCACAGCGAACACATACTCGGTATCCTCTTGGGGGATGGGGGGGGTATCACCAAAAGCGACAGCGCTTCCACACCTTCTCCCTCCTAGGTCGTCTCTCCCTGCTGCTTGTCCTCCTCATCCTCCTCCTCTTCATAATCACCTGCATCGTTCCTTGTTCAGACCTCAGACTTAACCACTGCAAGGGGGCAGAAAGTGTGGCTGAGACCCAGGCAAGAGCGTTATTCGGAACGGCCGAAAAAGTTCCGATGAGAAAAGCGCACACGAACATGTTGAACTCGTGCGCACGGAAAGCCGATCGCGAGAGTGGCAGGGTCACGCCAACACATAGGAGCCTGGCACTCAACACGGGCCGTCACACAAAGGAGGACAGCGGAGCAACGAGAGAGCAACAAGGGCGAAGGAGGAGGGAAGAAGGAAGCGGGACGAGGGAAGAGGGAACAGAGGAGAGTTTGGGGAAACCAACAGGTACCGATACCGCTACTCCCCAGACCTCTCCTGGGGTGCGTTCTGACCAGGACTTCGAGCCGAATCCAGCGGTGGCGACGAGGGCCTCCGAGGAGGCCCAAGGAGGGGAAAACGCGGAGAGGGGAGAGCTATGTGCACCTTTCCCTCCTCTGAGAGTCAGGAGGAAGAGGGGGGGGGCATGCTGCCGCGGACCGAGCTCGCCGGGCCAGGACGCGCACCCGGGGTGGGGGCCCTCCCTCGCGGCCCCGCCCGCACGGGCGGGCCGAAGAGCTCGCGCGGGGCCGCCCGCACGCGGGGCACACGGCACCGGCACGGAGCAGGGGACGGTGAGCCGACCCACAGGGGCCGCGCGAGGACGCACGTGAGCAGCAAGAGGAGAACGCGCGTGTAAGAGGGGGGGGACGGGGGGGGAGAGGACGCCGACGACGAGGAGGACAAGGAGAAGGAACTGGAGGATAACAGGGATATAACAGCCGTGGAAGTGCCACCCCGTTGCCCAACAGCATTCCGAGGACAAGGGACGAGTCACGGTGCAGCGCCCAGGCTCACCTGGCAGACCACACCACACAAAACCAAACAAGGTTATTGGGCCTTTCCCGTCTTGGGGTGCTTGACCGCAAGCAACAGATCCAGGGCCGCCTCGGGCCCACTTTCGAACCGCTCCTGACACCGAGCCTTCAGGAGAGGCCCCATTCGCTGCGAGCAAAACGCCCCGCAGTGATAACAGAACATGTACGGTCCAACTGAGCCCATTCGGTGCCCCACGGAGGGGAACCCATCCCCCGAACCCGACGCAGAGGCCGCTCCAACCTGGACGCTCTCGGCCCCAGGACCCACAAACGGCGCTGAACCAGCAACATCACAGGCAGCCTCCGCCGCAAGCGCCACTTGGACGGTCTCTGGTCTCGCGGTCGAGGTGGTTGCAGCAAAGCGACCCCCGTGGGCCGAAAGCGAATCTGGCCCTACTGGCCTGGAAAACGGGGTGGTCACACTTGCGGCCACCTCCGGACGTCATCCACCTAACCGTGGAAACGGTCTTGGCATACCTCAAACAGTTTCTGTAAACTCAGTGACCAAGCCCCAGGGCCCAGAGATCGTGCTCCTGGCATCCTAGGAGCACAGACGGGAAGGGCCTCTCAACAGGGGCCACAGGAGCCCGACCCCCACAATGACCCAGGAGGGAGACCCTCACCATGGAGCTCACGACTTCAGCCAACGACGCCAACTGCGCCGTGGCCCACGCAAGAATCAAATTAGCCTGCTTCCTATGGCGCGTCAGCTGACACGCCAAAGTGCTTGCAACAGGACAACGCCCCGAGCCTAGGAAATAGTCGGCCCGCGGGTTCCCGATCCCACACTCTGGTGGCTTCTCGGGATACTGCAACACGAACTGATTGAGCTCCCAGCGGGCAGGGGCACACTCGAACTCGAGCAGGCACCTCGACCCAACCTTCTGCTGCACTCTCCGACACATCGACGCGCGGGCCGCCCTGGGCCTCGGCAACATGAGGGCCCCACGACTTGCACTCCTGGACCGCCCCTCAACACTCGGACACAAACACTCGAACCTTCGGGGCACGAACGATGCACGGCAGGACGGACTCGCTCTTGGCACCCCCTGCAATCTGGCTCGCCCGTGGAAGAAGGCCGCACACAACACGAGTCGGAGCCCCAGCCCATCCCTGGCTGGACCACCGCCCATCCAACGGATCTCTGGCACTGCACAACGCATGCCAGACCCGCCTCCGCAGGCCCACTCGGGCCAGAGTTCGGGATCAGATCCCCAATCTCCCCGCCCCCCCGAAAACATGGATTTTTCCCTGGACGGGCGGAGGGGGGGGGGGGGGCGCTTCGGGAGCCCAATGGAAAACCGCAGGAGGTCCCAACATTCGCGCCCAAGAATATCAACAGCTCGCTCTGACAACTCACCCCTCACTAACTCCGAACTACTCATCCCAGGGCGGCATGCCCTCGCACGGACCCTCGCCCAGCACCAGCCGGCAAGCGCAGGAGGGGTGGCCCAACCGCCCCCTCGAGGTTGCGAGCAGCAGTCGGGGCGATGGCGGACGGGCGAGCCAACCAGCTTCCTGGAATATCGCTCCGCCACCGCCATCCGGCCACCTGATCACAACGCGCAGAGGGTTCCTGCCATCTGCGGCGCGCACACCGCCGCCTCGCGCCCCCCCGCGAGGAAGGACATCGCACACATCCAGGTCTCGTCGCCGCCCGCCATGCGCTCGCCGGGGCGCGACGGATGTGCGAGGAGATTGGCAATGCTGAACGCCTTCCGCCAGGCCTGCCTGATCTCGACGGGCGACACGCGCAGCGCGGACTGCAAGAGCCCCTCGTCGGACTCGGTGATCGCGCTGCTGGGCACGCCAGGCCAACCCGACGCAGAGGCAACCAGCACGCCGACAGCGGACCACGAGCTCCACGCCAAATCGGAGCCGCCTGCTGCCGGCGAGGTTGGAACACACGCCACGTGAGCCCAAGGCAGCCAAGCTCGACCTTCCGGCCCCAGACGAACCCACAGCACATGAAGACAACGCTGCAAGTAGCCTCGAACACAGGACACAGCCAGCTCTCACACAGAGTTTCGAAGTCCTAGATGCTCTTAAAAAAGCTGGCGGCGATTTTTTGTTTTCCAGATCGACGTTGACTTTTCTGTTGTGGGAGCCGTTTGCTTCTCCGTTGAGGATTGCCGCCTCGCCGTTCCCAGTTCGTCTTGCGATCCATGTTCTATGTTTGTTGAACGGCCGTTGTTTTTCTGTTTTCCATTTCTGTCAATGGGCGTCTGGTTTGGGTTGTTGATTTGTTCTGTTTTGGGTTGCCAGTTTGTTGTTCGTTGCGGGCCCGGCCGGCGTTGTTTTTGATCTTTCTGGGTTACCGTTCTCTTCTCCTTTGGCCTACCACAACGCGAAATATTGAAAAAGTTTCTGTACATTTTGCAAAGGCAACCCGCATGGCGCACCCCACCCAAAGATGCACGACACACAGCCGCCGACGACTGACGAAGGCCCCGAAAATCTGAATCTGGAACTCCAGCAACAGACACACACACACACACACACCGCCGCTGAGGTCCGCAGACCAGTTCGGAGAACCTGCACACACACACACACACACACATCGACACACACACACACACACACACACACCGCCACACACCGCTTTCTTCAGCAGCTTGACACTCAGCATCCGATCTACGCGTTGAAACATGCCGTTGGCCACCAGCTCCTGGACCTGGCTGTCGCGCAAGTCATGTCCCAAATTCCACTGGCTTGACCCGCATCGCCCTGGCCCACGGACCGAACGCGGCTTGAACGCGCGCCCAGCAGACACGGACGCGAAAACAAATGAATTTCTGGTCGACTGGATGATCTGCCCCAACCGTCTGGACTCCAGGATCAGCAGCCTCGTCGCGATCGCCAACTCCGCAGATCCACGAGCCTCTGTGCCAACTCGCTGCAAGGTCACGCCATCACCTAACCCGTGCGCGCACGCCGAGCTACAAGCGCGATGCATTTTTGCCAACGCCATGGCCATCAGCACCGTCAGCAGCGTCGCCACGTGAAAACATCCTGGCTGAATCCTCTGCCTGACCACAATCATGCGGCTGAGGCTGTCGCGGGCCTGCACGGCCTTCGGCGCGCACAGATAAATGACGAGCTGCCAGAGCAGCCTGAGCGGGAAGGACACCACCGCAGCTTCCTGAAAGAGCTCTGCCACCAACGCCGCGCAGAAACACCCCCACGCGCCAACGGCGACAGGCGCCACGTGCTCCCCCGGCAACTTCGCCACGTCAGAATTGACGTTGCGCGAGAAAGCTGCCACCGACGACGAGCCGCGTCGAGTGCGGCCCCAGATGAACTCTGAGCGGCGGCCGCCCGGCCAACGCGAGACAGCGGCCGACGCACCCTTGCCCGAATCTGAAGCACCGAGCGGATCGGGACCACCTAGGCGAGACCCCTCCCCCGCATTTGGAATCTTCACCATATCCGAACAAATAAAGCACGCCTCGGCCACAGAAGGACTTCCGCACTCCAGGAAAAGAGCCGCCATCGCACCCAATCCACATGATTCGACGAGAACCACCATGACATTGGTTGGAGCCCCGAAGGACAAGCAGCCGCACGCCCAGAGGAACTCCGAACGGTTCGCCGCAACATGGCCACACTGACGAACGGCAGCGGCCCCCACTGAGCAGCATCAAGCGGCAGCGCGAACTCCGATTCGCCATGGTACTCCCAGACCTGGGCCCACGTCCTTCAAGGGGCCCAAGGACACACAAATAAATACACACATATAAAATGATTCCCCATATTTTCCCATATTTTCTGGGTTTTTGTCTTCCCCCCCACTTCCCATATTTTCCAATATTTTCTGAGAAATCGAAGATTAATTATGTCTGCGTGTGTTTTTTCCCTCCTGAGTCCTGAGCTCCACGTCGACAACCCAATGGGGGGGGCCCACCTCCGCCCCCTACTCGACCGCCTCCCGCGCCGCCTACAACCGCACGAACCTGCGAACCCCACCTCCCGCCACCCAGGAAGGACCTG